ATCAATTTCTTTTTCATGTCCACTTCATGTCCACATGTCCGGGAAGTCAAGCACTAGTCTCAAGGACATGCCCAGAAGAGGATCGAGGAAAAGAGGAAAGTCGTTAGTTAGTTGAGACCAAGACTTGCATCTAAAGCAAAAGGGATTGGGGCTGTTTTGTCGTTTTAATATGCTTAAGACTCCCATGTTGCAAAACCATGGATTTAACAAACAAAAACGTGGAGCACTATTTCAGTTGTTAATAGCCCTTTTTTCCATCCAAAAGCTTATCCCATCCATTGAAAGCTTTTAAGCTTAAATCAAGATCTTTCCCACCAGCTCGTTCTTTACTAGGCATCTAGGCGAACCCACCGGGTTAATTCAACGTAAAGAAAGCTCATTAGGTCAAAACTAGGGGAGTGCTTACTAATAGCGACTTCTCCTTGGGAAGGGTTGGCTTGGGGCTTCCTACCCCATAGGATCAACAATGGTTTCCTCTTCTGCGGATGCTTTAGCTGCTTCAGCTTTCTATTATTCTTCTGCTTCAGCTGAGAAACGAAGTCATAGGCACGTAGGTTCAGGGCCAGACCGACTACTCCAAGAGCACTCATCCATAAACCGGTTACTGGTACAAATAACATAAAGAAATGTGAGAAAAAAGAATTGTTAGTCACTTCAACGGCCTTCAATGGTTACACCGGCATCCAAAGTACGGACGAGATTGTTAAATGAATAAAGTCATTTAGTCAAGCTTAAAAAAGGGAGTAAAAAGACAAATTGATGTGTCAGAAAATGATTTGATATTTTTGTTTTAATTTTTAAAACTGTTCAATCATTCGTCGACAACGTGTTCCATCTAAATTTGAGTCTAGACGTGCACCATGATTGGTTAAAAATATGCAATAAGTCATATTTGATCAAAGTGTGATGCACGCAGACCGTCAGATTGCTGAAGTCAATAGATAATGACTGCATCAAAGTGTGATACACAAGAGACCCTCAGAAAACGATGGACATGAAATAATTGAGGAGAGAAATAATTGTAGACAGGAAAAAGAGATAAAGAGGTGTGTCTACATGTCCAGGGCATATTCTTCTTCTACATTTTATTAATTTTAATTTTAGAATAGATAAAAGACAACTGTGTTGCTGTATTGGATTTTAGATAAAAGAGGTGTGTCCAGGGTATATTCGTCTTCTACATTTGTCGACTCGAATATCTATTAAATAAAAATCAAAGCTACATAGAGTGCTAGTCTTTCAACTTGATTAGAATGTAGGTACAATCTATAGAATGAATTGGAGATGCTTTATTGAATTCAAAGATCCGGGCTTGGTGTTTAGTTTGGGGTTTTTCAGGATGGTTGGCCGAGCCAAGCTAGTTTATAAAACTATGGTGTAAGGAGAGATTGAGAGGGTCAAAAATACAGATGGCAATGGACTAGGCAGAGGCGGGAATGAAATATCTCCATTTATCCTTTTTTTAATTAATTGATTATTTTTAAATACGATTAAAATTTAAAAACATAAAAGCCAGAAGAAAAAAAATAAAAAATAAAAAATAAAAAGATTCTAGGCAAGTTCGAGAAATTCAGCAGAGAGACCATATTCCACGTCCCTATCCCAATTACGTGATGGACTAAAAAATGAAGTATCCAGGCTCCGTTTAGAAAAAACCCAATTGGTAATATATCTATGATTACTACTTGTATCATAAATGATTCCTGTTTGGTATTTGTAAAGATATCCTATTTGTCAAGCGAGGGAATCTCAAACTAAATACTTGGTGAAAGGTATGAAATGAATTGAAAAAAAAGAAAGAAAGTCATAACAAAAAGAAATGGTAATGGGAAGATTTGTCCCATATGTGCAAATCAAAATCGGGCGGATCTTTACCCGGAGTAGAGCATAAACCTAAAAAGATGAAAGAGACCCATTCAGGAACAAGAAAATACCATCGTGATTTGGATTGAATCTCGATGAAACAATACATCAATGAGAAGTTAATTCGATAAGTTTAGTGACTTTTTTTCTATTATAAGAAAGAAAGAAGTTCAAATTCCTCTTTATTGAAAAATCGAAGAAAAAGTCCTTTCATTAGAAGTCAGAAAAAACCTGCTATGAAAAAAGAATAGGAACAAAGAAAGAGGACTTGAATCTAGACATTGATTCTTTTTTTTTTCGCAATTATTTTTTGAACCGTATGCTTCAAAAGGTGCATGTACGGTTCCTAAGGGATACAATTTTACCCTAATCAACCGACTTTATCTAGAAAGATTACTTTTTTTAGGCCAAGAAGTTGATAGCGAGATCTCGAATCAACTTATTGGTCTTATGGTATATCTTAGTATCGAGGATGATACCAAAGATCTGTATTTGTTTATAAACTCTCCTAGCGGATGGGTAATACCTGGAGTAGCTGTTTACGATACTATGCAATTTGTGCGACCAGATGTCCATACAATATGCATGGGATTAGCCGCATCAATGGCATCTTTTATCTTGGTTGGAGGAGAAATTACCAAACGTCTTAATTAATTGTCCGTCTCTTGTGCTGCAATGTGTTTCTTGAACCACGTTAATTTGCATTTTTTTTGTTCCTTTTTTTATTTTCATTTACGTTGTGTTTATCGCTTGTTTTTATCTATTTTTCTCACAAGAGAATATCTATCGTTTAAATATGACAAAAGTTAGAAAACTAGTGGTGGTATATATCAATACCAATTTGTATTTATATTATTTTTACGTCTTTTCTGACAAGATTTCAAGTCATAGCCACGTAATAGCCAGCAGCAACAAGTCCAATTGGGTCCACACTTCACATCATCATCTTACCTAGCTGAGGTGAGGCCATAGAAAAGGTAGCTGAGGTGATGTATTGCTCTTGTCAAGGTACCATGAAGAGCCCAACCCTCTATAGCAAAAGAAATCTGAGGCAATTGGCATCCTTGCCAAGAGGGAGCATCTCTCACCTTACCTCTTCCAACTGATCTTTTGTACAAGATCGTCCTACGATTGATTGATATAACATTTCTACAGCAGAGCATCTAAAAAGTCAAATTATCAATCTCTATTTCAGTGGTCGGACCTATGCTCTAGGATGAACACTTTTCAGATAACATTAAATGCAAATCAGCCTATGACGGGCGAAGTGATGCAGAGGAGGGGACACTTCAATCATCAAAACAAGGCCATGTGTCTCTGGACGGTGACAATTCCTCCTCTTCTACTATAAAATCTCACACAATATCATTTGAACGTATTGCAATTTTACCTACTTAAAACAATATTGCTCTCTCCCATTTTATATCCTCATAATACCTTCAGTACCCGAACACCTTTATGGCTAAAGTCTCAAGCACGTTCCAAGCACAATATACTATTACTATCGACTGAATTGACCGTCAGAGCATTCACGACCACCTCCTCCACCATCGGACAAGGCCATGTGCGGTTTAACAATTTGTCCAAGTGTACGGGAGTAAGGCTCTGTAGATGTGAGTGGAGTTGAAATTTGTAGGCCACGTCCCCCTACAAAAAGCAAGGTTAACAATTATCGAATTCTATGATAATTCTAGACCATTATCTATTAGGTGTGAACTGAACTTTCGTTTGGACTACTAGTCTTGTTTGTCAACAAGGCGGACATATTGTTTCCATTTGAAACGGACATCTCTGTGTATATAGTTGGCACGTTCCCCAGATTATAAAATGATCATTAATAGCTCTAAACACTGATCAAGGTGTTATGGAAGTCTATGATTTTTTCAGTTTCTTGTTGATTCTAAAGGAATCTATCAAACTTCTCCCGAAAAATGGAAAGCTCATGGCTTCAATATTTATATTTTCCCTCATCCTATATGCAATCTTGTTCATTTCTTTCACCTTCTCCTTCCAATTCTTGTTCAATGATATTGCCGAGGTTTATATGAATTCTAGCTTTGTAGCTGATCAGAGCCCATTTACACCGAATACTACCTCTTTAAGGTCTAACTCAACCGAGCTTCTTGGCATAGAACGGCTCAGAGATGATTTTGCCCTTCTTGTGGCTGTGCAAATGGCTTGCCTTCTTGCTGTTCTCATTGTCTCGAACTTCTCCACTACTGCAACAATATTAGTATCAGCCATGTCTTATAAAGACGAGACATTATCCTTGAAAGATCTATGTTTAAGGATAGTGAGAACATGGAAAAGGGCACTGATAACAGAATTCTATACAAAACTTCATGCAATGGCGTACGTGTTCTTGTGTGTGGCATTGTCTGTTCCTTTACTCATGTCTGCTAATCTCACCACCATTTCAGCCACCGTCTTGCTAGTTATTTCTGCTTGTGTTTGCTGTTTATATCTGCCCGTCGTTTGGAACTTGGCTATTGTCGTATGTGTAGTCGACAAAGGTTGTGGAATCGAGGCATTGGGAAAAGCTGCCGCGCTTATCAAGGGCAAGAGATTGCATGGTTTTATGCTAAACTTATGCTTCAATCCGCTGTGCTTGATTCTATTTCTGAACTGCGGTATGATGCCAGAGAATTGGACCATTAATGGATTGATTGTGATGGGAGTCTTTTTTTTGGGGATTTTTTTCCCGAAGGTGGCATATACGGTATTATACTTCCGGTGTAAGAAGAGCTATGGCGAAGAAATTGAATTATACAGGAGCATGGAATACAGCAAACTGCCCTCTACTCAACCAGTCAGTAAGTCTAGCAATTTACCGAGCCGAGTTGAGGAAAAATTCTTGTAGTCAATGCTAAACGTCCTATTATTAAACCAAGCAAAAAATTAATATGTTATTAATAAGTAAAATGTCTTAAATCAAGCAATGTATCAGTCTAGTGACAAAAAATGATTCTTATGGTCGATTCCAAATTATTTGTGTAATGCCCAAGTTTAATAAAATATCAGTTTAGCTCTAGCAATCAACAAATATTGTAAAGCAAGAAAAAAAAAATTTCAAGAACACAAGAATTTTCACCTTAAGGTAGGATGGTCAAAGCAAAGCTCATACACCCTCTTGAGCTTTTGTAATCGGAAGAAACCTCGACACTAGAATAGAAACCAAATCGTCCAAGATTACAATTGTCAGAAACCAAAAATCGAAAACCACTTAAGATTACATACTCCTACATATCAAAATTGATGTTCACTCAAGAACATAACAAATCATATCTACCTTAAGTTTATAAATAATTCATAACTCTAGAAGAAAAAGAAATTTAAAGAAGATGAACATGAAGAATCTTCATGCTTCCCAAGAGACGAAAGAGGGAGATTTTCGGATCCCTGGAAGACAAAAGTTATGGTAGTTTAAATTCAAATGAATGTATACGTCAATAAAAGCCACCAAAAGGTCCACTCATCCCAATGTATTGAAGGTGACACTTGACAGTATCTCATGCATCCACTCCATTAGTATAAATGTGTTTTCCGTGGCAGAATTTTGTTACCTTCATAATCACCGGATCTTTCACATTGGATCATCAAGAATATGTAAACTAAATTGAAAGCGTACCTGAATCAGACATTGTTAATTGCGATAGTTGAATTTTGCGATTTTATCTTCCAAATCAACACGCAGCCCTTAATTTTCTCTAGTTATAGGAGACAGAACAGAATGAGCAATGCACGTGTAATTTCGGGATCATAATCGTATTTATGTATTGACGCCCTTTGACCTAATTTGGCCCATCACAGAATTAGGAACCTGGGCCCAATTTTTACACATAAAAGACAGACACTTAAATTGGATGCATTAAAGGTCAAAATACCGAAATCTTATTATATAACTTTTAAATGGATTTAACCAAATTTGATAATCTTTAATTTAATATACAATATTTCACACATATAAGCCCACATGGTTGATTTAAAAATTCCTTACATTTTCAACAATACTACTTTAAAGAAAATTGCAACTTAAATATGAAACACGATTTCCACCAGTTAAGGCCAGTCAAAAAGTTATCCCAATGTGACATTCTCAACCGTCTGTTATTCAACCTCACAAAATTTCTATATTGTTAATACGATCTTTTCAATTAATTGGTTTATAGTTTTGCGAGTTTTCTACAAATTAAGTTTGGAGGTTTATATAGTCAAACAAAACCTCCCAATTTAAACTGGGGGAATTTTTTTTTTCTTTTTTGGTGCATATATTGTTCATCATGTCCTCTTTTTCGCTTATAATTGGTACAATTGAGATATTTCTTGCAATTTTTAAATCTTGAAATAATTGATGTTCTGTTTCTTCTGTTGGGCACGAAAGCTCCGATATCACTTGTTGATCTCAAGCCGGATTGTAAAGAATGAGATTTAATGACAATATTAAAATAAACAAGATCACACCAAGAAAACAAGATTTAAAGTAAAGAAGAACAAAAAGGGGTTAATCACAGAGGAACGGTATTTATTACTGAATAATATGGAGAAAACAAGTATAACTTAACAAAATTGCTTCTCACAAAACTGACAGATGAGTCTTATATTCATAGGAAAAAATTAATCCTTAGAAGTGGAGTTGTAGATGAAATAAAATGTCTAAAAGTTTCCTTATTTTAACTCTTCAAGTCCAACTCAACTTTCAACTCCCAATGAGCTTCAAAATAGAACTTAAATAGAATTTGACAATTAAACTTGAATAAGATTTCTCAAAGCATTCTAACTGGAATTCCTTTTGATGTGCACTTCAATTAGAATTCTACAATTATTTCAACAAAAGAATTTAGGTCACCTCAAAATTCTAACAATCTCCATCTTGACACACATTTCGATGCAACAGAACAAAACTCCTAGATTTCAAATCCGTCTGTATCGAAATGAAATGGCCAATCTCCTCAACGCAGTAACCAAAACACTCCATCTAAACCAAACAATCATTCTCTGCCCGATATCCACAAGTGACACCTGAACTCAATCCTAGGGTTCCTAAGACTCCTCCTCGAAATTAATGTTGATCACACAGGGCCGAAGTACACCCAGTGACAAGAACCAAACCAGATGCTTGATCAGAAGGCCCCTTGCTGAAACTGTCGCCTTCAACGTCCCTAGAAGCATCCCAGACATTACTAACACTATGGTACCTACGCTCGATAAGTCCAACCCCAGCAACTGAGCACATTGTCCCCGCTGAAATCGGTGGCAGAATCATCAATGCTCTTCCTGACAGTGTTCTGAACCAACTCAGAGCCTAACACAAGAGGTACTGCACCAAATTGAACTTCCACCACAGTACTAAACTTATCCAAATGTCTCATTTTAACTAATTCTACACTTCCTTACAAAATGTACAAATGGGACCTTCTTCGTTCCTCCAGTACAACCCAAACTTCCTTTCGGACCTTCAAGACTCCACCTCCTCTAGAGAATTTATACCCTTTTGCATTCAGGGCACTCAGAAAGATGAGATTCCTCTTCAGATTTGAAACATGTCGAACCTGGCCAAGTGCTCTGACCGTCCTATCCTGCAACTGTAAACTGACTCGATCGATTCCAAAAATACGGCGAGATTGGTTGTTTCCTATTACAACTCCACCTTGCTGAATAGCCTCATATGTCTTAATTAAATTTCTATCGGAACACATATGGTGCGAACATGCTAAATTAAGAATCCACTCCTCGTCAGACATATATTCCACATCAGATACCACGGTCAACATCACATCTCCGCCATCTGAAAAATCCTCAACTACATTGGTTTCGTTTGAAGTCAAAGGTTGTGCTCCACGATTTGCAGCCAAATCACCTCTAGCCTGCAACATATCGCAATCATTTCAAATATGTCCCTTCCGTTTGTAGTAGTAACAATACACATTGCTAAAGTTGACTTTTGATTTGTCTCTCCGTAGACCATCTTTAGATACAAGAGCTTCCTTATCCCTTGATGTAGCTCCAACCAAATGCTTCATCTTCTCCTTTAACTGTAAAGTATCATAGACATCGCCTATAGTCAAAGTATCTCGATTGTATAAGATAGTGTCCCGAAATGACGCATGAGAACCAGGCAGTGAACATGATAGGATCAAGGCAAAATCCTCTTCATCGTACTTAACCTCCAATGTTTCCAAATT